CCCCCCTCTCACTAGCAACGTTGTCACTTCATCCTCCGCCATTAAGCAGTTACGTCATATAAGGATTTTGAATATCCATTGCTAAGAAGACGACATTTCAAATACATTGGAGCGCATTCAGAGAACCTTACTTTACAAATTTGATAGGTCCTAAGTTTGGTGTTGAACCTGCAGGAGAGGGAGGACTCTCGGACGAACAGGAGAAAAGGATTTGGACTCTTACAGCACATAATAATCAATTAATCAAACAACTCAATGAGAAGGTAATAATTAATTAATTAAACAATTCAATTAAAAGGTAAAAAGGAATTTGAAGAAGTGTTTTTAAATTAAAAATAAAACTTTGACGGGAGTAAAGAAAATAAAATGATTACAATAAAATGATCTTGATCTTGATCTTGATCTTGATCTTGATCTTGATCTTGATCTTGATCTTATAGGTTAGTTCAGAGTGTCCTATTTAAACCATGTTTAGAGAATGTTGAGTGACCCACCACGTGTAAGAAGGCATGTTGGAATCACAACGGTACCCTTTAAACCTTCACCTGACCAACAATGTGGAAGCTTTTTCCTTTTTTCCTATCGCATAAACCTCAATTAAAAAGAATCAAGGATATCTCATTAGTTTTTGATCAGATAAGGGGTAAAGGGTACTGTTGAAAATAGAACAATTCACTCTACAAATAGAGGATCACTCAACAACTACATAACATATTCAGTCCCTTTATTCTTGGCTCGAATTAGGACACATTCTAGGATATAGTTAGGTAACAACAATGGAAACGAGAAAGACAACGGCAACGATAAATAACAACGATAAATAATGGCTACAAAAACTAACAGCAATGACGACGATAAATAATATCAACAACAACGGCAACGATAAACGAAATCAAGGGCAATGATAAATAATATCAACGATAAATAACATCAACGGCAACGATAAATAACAGTAATGACATTGATAAATACCAGCATTAACAACGATAAATAATATCTACGATAAATAAAATTAACGGCAACCATAAATAACATCAACGACAACAATAAATAACAGCAATGACAATGATAAATAATAGCAATGACAAGGATAAATTATATCAACGATAAAAATAGCAATGGCAACGATAAATAACAGCAAGGACAATGATAAATAATATCAACGATATCAACATCAACGGCAACAATAGATATCATCAACGGCAACGATAAATAACAGCAATGACATCGATAAATACCAGCATTAGCAATGATAAATAACATCAACTATAAGTAAAATCAACTGCAACGATAAATAACATCAACGGCAACAATAAATAACAGCAATGACCATTATAAATAATAGCAATGACAAGGATAAATTATATCAACGACAAATAATAGCAATGGCAATGATAAATAACAGCAATGACAATGATAAACAATATCAACGATAAATAACATCAATGGCAACGGTAAATACATAAACGGCAATGATAAATAACATCAACTGCATCGATAAATAACATCAACGGCAACAATAAATAATAGCAACGGCAATGATATATAAAAGCAGCAGCAACAATTAAATAGCAGCAACAGCAACAATAAATAGCAGCAACGGCAACGTCAAATAACAGCAACAACAACGATAAACACAGCAACGACAACAATTATTAACAGCAAGAACAAAGAGAAATAACAGCAACGGCAATGATAATCAAAAATATATTGATAACAATAACAATGATTTAGGGAGGAGGTGGAGAAGTTGAAAAAAGAAATACAAAGAATGAACGGAGAATCAAGATCACAAGAATCTTCATTAGAGTTTCAACGAAACGACTCCAGCCGGTATTATTTATATTATTTTATTTATTAGTTTTAAAACTAAGAAAGAAGAAACCCAATGTAAGAAAAAGTAAAAAAGAACAAAAACACTGATTACATGCCAAACAAAGGAGAAGAAAATAAAAAAAATGAGCAAAAACTTTTGATTTCTGGATATCGGGATTAATGCTTAATCCACTCTTTTTCTTTATCTGCTCGAGATTAAATAATGCTTGTTCTCTTGTTATTAATCTCCAGATTAATTGACTGATCAGGATTAAGGCTATCCCATTCAAAAGTTTTCATCTCTGGTTAAACTAATCGCAACAACATAAATTAAACATAAGATTGCGGAATGTATTCCACTTATTAGTCTCACTCAACACTAAACAGACAAATATTATAACTAATTCGGGGTAAAATAACCAAGTCAAAAACAAATTTTAACTCTCAAATTTTTAGCGCTTGATCTCGATATCCACTGTTATATCTTTTATATTTTATCACTGCAATTGGGTATCCTACGACTAAGTGCAGGGTACGATCACCACTGGGATATTTGAGGGGAATTGAATTAATCTGTAGGTATGAGCCCTTTCTCTCTTAAGATAGTGGTCGTGTAGTTCACGTACTTTGGGGGACGATATGTTGGCCGCTAGATGTCTCCTGCTAAATTCTTATCTGATAGATAGATCATTTCTCCGTACGCTTGACAACCAATATAGGAGACGTCAAATTGTAGACCAATTTAGTTTATGGAAGGAACGGTCTCTGGTTCTGAATAAGGGGAATAATTACAATGGAGCTTTAGAATTGGGTAACCTTGATCCCGATTGCTTAATCTGAATATCCAATGTGGACACTTTTATTTTCCTGCTTAATTCGCTCTTTTTTTATTTTTGGATATCTCTACCAGATTCTGACCAATAAGATTTATTTCATAAAATGGCGCGTAAAATATGAAATTTCATGGCTTCTGATTGGCTGTTCGGGATTCTGCATATGATTCTCATCGATGAATACTATACACTTTTCAGGATACAAACTAAAGATTATATAGTTTTTAGATTATCAAATTTAAAGTAGATGAAGTATTTATCTCAATATCTAAAATTCTAAAGTTTTCAGCTCTGATCATCTATATTTAATAGGAATATATTGATTATTTATATTTTTAGGAATATATTGACGTCTTTAAAAAATCAAAATGAAGAAACACTAAGAAACCTCTCCCAGGTATTTGTTTATTCATTTCTTCATTTNGATCCGTTGGATCCACAAGATTTTGGCTTCCTGGATCCGGATCAGGAAAAATATGCGGATCCACGGATCCGGATCCAAAGGGCAAAATATCAACTAAAAACTGCAAAAAAAAATTTAATCTCAACCCAAATCTGAACTATTGAAAAAAGAGAGAATATAAAAATTTCCTAATTTCTGAATGGTTAAACAAGTTTTAGCAAAAAATTAAGCGAAAAAAATAAGACAAAAAATTTAAAAATTTTGCTTTGTTAAAAAAATTCAGTCAATTTTATGGAAATAACCTAGATCCGGATCCGGATCCTTTTTTATTCAGTGCGGAATGCGGATCCAAGATCCGTATCCGCATCAAAATTAAATGGATCCTAAGCACTGCCCCTACCCCCGCATCTTCAAATATCATTCCACATTTCCAATATGTTTCTAAAAATATATGAAATTATGGCTTAATGACAGTCATGTGACAGTTCCTTAATACTTAACAATTTCAGGCCTGGCGGAGGGTTTGGTGGACTGGGACTTGGTGGACTCGACAGTGATCCTTTTGGACTTCGTTCAATGAGTATGAACTCAGGTAGGAGTTTTTAACCTCGAGGGAAAGGGGGGGGGGGCGAATTCCCAGTCTTTATCAGATCCCCTTATAAAATATGAAAGGATAGGGCAGCAGGATTGTTGATAGTACGTCCCTAAGATGAGGTCAATTCTTCCTTTAATTCTATAATATTTCTTTAATCCTTTACTCCTGCAATATCCCAAGTTTAATCCTATATTATTTCTTTAATCCTGTAATATTCCTGACAGTCCTAAGCCTAAAAACTCTCCAGAAGAAATTCTGTGGCTTCGTATTGTATAATGGATAAACAATCCAATCCTGTAATATTCCTTAAATCCTGTAATATTCCTTTAAACCTGTAATATTCCTTTAATCCTGTAATATTCCTTTAATCCTGAAATATTTCATTAATTCGGTAATATTCCTATAATCTTATAATATTCCTTTAATCCTGTAATATTCCTTTAATCCTGTAATATTCCTTTAATCCTGTAATATTCCTTTAATCCTGTAATATTCCTTTAATCCTGTAATATTCCTTTAATCCTGTAATATTTCTTTAATCCTGAAATATTCCATTAATTCGGTAATATTCCTATAATCTTATAATATTCCTTTAATCCAGTAATATTCCTTTAATCCTGTAATATTCCTTTAATCCTGTAATATTTAGGTCCTGATTTAAAGCCTGTCACCTCCTCTATGTTCGGAGCTATTGGTACTGACTTTACTCGACCTCCAGCTATTAGTAAATCAGCTTCAGCTTCCACAATAGGCTAGTGACAATAACTTTTGAATGTCAAGAACTGAGTTTAACTCGTTTTTTAATTAAATTAAGCCTTTCCCCTCTGTGCCTGTACGTTCAATGATGGGGTCATTGAAAAATCAAAAACATTCAAGTTTAGTTTAAGAGAGACTTGTAATTTTTAAAGATTGGCTTTTGTATACAAAACTGACTGGGAACTGGGAACTTTTGAATGGTGGATATCAGGATTAATGCTTGATCCACTCTTTTTCTTAATCTCCAGATTAAATATGGCTTGTTCTCCTCATGTTATTAATCTCCAGATTAATTAACCGATGGGGATTAAGGATATCCCATTCTAAAGTTTTCAGCTCAGTTAATCTCATTAAGTAAGTTATAGTTAAAGTTTAGAAGTTATGTAGCTTAACTAATATACATTTATTATATTCCAACTATGAAATGTTAAAAATATCACTTTCTTGTATCTCATTTTTTAAAGTCAACATTTTTCAACGATATCTCTTTTAAAGGAATGAATGGTTCGGGTGCAGGCCAAGGACAGCATCCATCAAATTTTCTTGGTAAAACAATTTTTAGACATCGAACACAACGACTTCTTTATAATTTGAATTTTTTAAATTCGGTAAAATGAAAATTCCTTTCTTTAGGAGGTTTTCAGCCGTCTTTAAACAGGCCTGTCTTTCCACCAATGGTCCCTGGACTTCCCACTAATCCTCTGGGTCCTGGACTAACCTCTAATATCTCTACTCTATCTAATCCTTCTCTGGGATTTTCCAGTCCTTTGAATAGTTCTCTCAGCTCCTCTCTTCTTCCTCAAACTAGTTTTATGGGCCAGGGGTCCCTAGGTCTTGGTCAGAGCCCGTTCGGGTCGAATCCGGGACATTTTGGGTCCAATCCGGGTCCTTTTGGGTCTAACCCGGGTCCTTTTGGGTCCAATCCGGGCTCTTTAGGATCTTTTCAAGGGTTGAATTCTGCTCAAAACAATCCTGGTTTAAATCCGGTATTTAATTCCTCCTCCTCTCTTTCTAAACTTGCCTCCGGTGTATCTGGAGGAGGCCAGGCTCCGATAGGATCTCAGGGATCGGCTCCGAGCTCCGGACCTGGAACTCCGGCTCCAACAGGGAAGCCAAGTTCTGCTTCCGCTATCAGGTATATTGAATTGTACTGAATTGTACTGTACTGTACTGTACTGTACTGTACTGTACTGTACTGTACTGTACTGTACTGTACTGTACTGTACTGTACTGTACTGTACTGTACTGTACTGTACTGTACTGTACTGTACTGTACTGTACTGTACTGTACTGTACTGTACTGTACTGTACTGTAATGTATTGTACGGCACTGTACTGTACGGTACTGTACTGTACGGTACTGTACAATACGGTACTGTACGGTACGGTACTGTACAATACAGTACTGTACGGTACTGTACCATACTGTACTGTACTGTACTGTACTTTACTGTACGGTACTGAACGGTACTGTACATGTACTGTACATGTTCTGTACCATACTGTACTGGACTGCACTGCAATGCTTTGGTTCTTGACAAATTTAATTGAGCGAAATCCTGATTTATTGATTGATTAAATTGTTGGTTGATTGTTGATTGATTGATTGATTGATTTCAAATATAATTTCTAGGCAGGAGCAGTTGGTGCGTAAACTAGTTTCCAGTATTCCAGGTTCTTCAGAGGACAGTGTTAAACGTTATATTCAGGTAACTTTTTCCTAGACTAGACACCTCCCCCCCCCCCGCGCACTCCTTTATCCTTTAATAATAATAATAATCGCTGTCAAACCTTCAATCTAGGTTGTAGGCTTGAGCTCCCCGCCGTTTAAGTTCCATTGAATCAACCCAGTTATGAGCTGAGTGTAAATTCAGAGGTGGGGCACAAGCCTATTGACCCTTCTGTACACTCTCAGATACCTAATGATCCTGTTGGTATCACTAGTATGTTGAGATGTTCGTGATGAATATTTTGAGATTGAAGATTGACAGCGATCTCTAAGTTGATATCATTCACTACATTAAACTGAAGGAGTGCCAATTCTGGTCCAGCCATTTTAACTCATTGAATTTTTCTGTTATATATACGTATTATTCCCAGATAAATCCTTTACTGATTGTGAACCATCCATTTGGTCTTAAAACCATGTATACCTATATACATAGCTTTTTATAATAAAGCCTTTAATGCTTGTTAAAATCCTTATTGTTTTTAATACTGTTCTATAATCCTTGTTGTCAAAAAAATTAATTATATGTACGGCTTAAGATCTGTACAGTCGTACATTTTAATTTGAAATAAAGTCGAAATTTTCAGTATATTATTTTTTGTTAATTAATTAATTAATTAATTAATTAATTGTTATTAATTAATTTTTGTTTCATTCAAGGTCCTTCGTGATCAGCATGGAAAGTTATCAGGTTACTTTTCTATTAATAAATCCAAAATGCAACAATTCTCAGTTTTCGTTTTGTTTTATTTTATCATTTTTTACATTTTACACTCTTAGAAAACAATAATAAACAAGTTAAGATTAATTGTTAAGGTTGGCCGACCAGCAAGATTGTGGCGGAGATAACTCAGCTAATGCAGCAGGGATAGAACAGCTGATTATGGGTCAGCTTTTTTTAAAAGTTAGCTGATTCCAGTAAATCCTCGTAATCTTATCGGAGGCAGCTGCCGCCATTTTGTTTAATTGTACCGTTTGAAATGTTGATTTTAATACTTAATTTGATATAAATTTCAGAATAGCGAAGAGAAATTCCTTGTTTGTATTTGTACCCCGTCAAAAAGAATTTCCCTGGAATTTTCGAGAAAAAAAGTTCGCTCAACTAATTGACTTATGTACCTTAAAAAGTCTCAACAAATGTTGTGTATTATATATAAATGTGATTTTTTTTGATCATGTTCTCCTTTTAAAGAACCCGATTTGTATTTTGTAATTTTGGATAAAGATTTTAAAATTTTATGAAAATTATTGGGGAAAAAGGGTTGGGAAAAGCGTGATTTTGAACTAACTAACATTCCGTTGTTAATTTCATTACACCCTCCATTTTTATACTCCATTTTAGTAAGAATTTACCCGCCATTTCAATACAAATCTAACCGCCATTTGGAATATAAATTATATAATTTACAATTTTGAAACAGAAATTTTCATCCGCCATTTTGTAATTTTTAATACAAATTTAGTTTCTTTGTAAATTTTTATATTCCATCTTATAAATTTTGAAAATTACATTTTCTTTCTGTGGTCTAAGTTCAAATGTTAAAAGCATTTGGATGTACAGATCATAGACTTTAGAAAGAAATTTTCCTCAACTTTTAGTCGAGGTTTTTTTTATTATAATTTTGTAAATTTTACCAGCATTTATGTTACGATAAACTACAAAATGTAAAGTAATAGCGGCTAAAATGTAGCCCAGAAATATAGGTTTTTTAATGTATAATAATTAGTATTTAGTTTTTTTTATTCATAGCATTTTTTAAAGATTATTATTATAATAATAATTTGAAATGTTATAGTGCAAATTGTGTTTGCTGACTTGAACGATTGGCTTGTTAAAGGGACTGTACGCGTTATTTTAGTGACCCTCTATGTCAAGATGGCAATGCCCGATATACAACAATACTCTTAAAATTTGTGTCTGATCAAGCCCGAATTAGATATCTATTTTTTTGTTTGTTTCTGTAAACTGTACATTTTCAGTTGCAATAGTGACTTGCACTTTCACATTTCTTACTTATAAGAAAGCTGCGGTTAAACCGTTAGAATTAGCACTTAGAAAAACGACAGTAACGTTGCAAGGGTAACGTTTAAATCGGGCATCGTCATTTTTGATTTTAGGGTCACTTGAAATAAAATTTAATCCTGTATTAGTAAATTCCCGTGAGGGGTTAGAATTGTATAATCAAAGTTTAAGTTTACGTGCAAAACAATTTTTAACATTAGTTTAATTGATAATTACAAGGAATTAGCTTACCGTCCGAAATTGCAATATTATTGAGATTTGTTTCAAGGATGCATTTGATACCTATCAGACGTTTTTACGGTGCATATTTGTTCAGCAAGAGCGCACTTGAGATCTTTAAAATCCTCATAGATTGTTCATTTTGGGGGATGATTTAGAGAAAAGGTTTTATTTAAATTACTCAATGACGCCCACGAAAAATTAAAAAAAAAACATTACTGTAGACTAATTAGTTGTTAAGAAACAGGTTGAGAAAATAAAAATTAACGCTTATTATCGAAAATAAATAATATTATTCAGCTTTTGGTTTCTGAAATGTCTCAATGTTCAAAACCATTTTTTAGATTTCCCGGGATTTTTCATGAAAAGACGACATTTGAAGAATTTAAAGAAACTGCGAACAAATTCATAAAAAAAGAAAACTAATATAATGATGAAAAAGATACAATTGATTCTAACATTGATTTAATGACAAATTTAAAATAAGAAATATGTTCCTAAACATCTTATTGGCTTACTGTAAACATGTTGTTACATTTTTCTCAAAATCATCCCTCCAAAATGGACAATCAATGCGGATTTTAAATATTGAATTTGCGCTCTTGCTTAAAAAATATGCATCTTAAAAACGTTTGATAGTTCTCAAATAAATCCTGAAAATTTTTTCATTAACACTGCCATCTCAGTTCAATTCTACCCTACATTGCAGTTCACTCCCTTTAAATGATAAAGTTTAAAAGAACTGTGTTTAATTTTAGCAGTTATCTCTACAGTCTCTTATCTTATTCTATCAAATCAAACAATTTGAGATAATTGATAGTCGTGGCTAACAGTTGAAGCTTTAAGAATTATTATGGAGGGTTGGGGTGGGTTGCAATCGTTGCAACCCAAATCTATGAAACCTAATTAAGTTTTGAAACTATCTTAAGTACGTTTTGAAACTATCGGGTTTATCTGATGTTACTGTAAACCTTTCTCCGCGGACCTGAAAAATAACATTCTCTGGCTGTGTTGCACAGTGCACATGCAGAAGGCTCCACCTAAGAACCCAAGTTCCCTTTTCTGTTACTGAGTTCCCTGAAGAAGGTTTGATCAAATCTCTTTACAAAAACACCGGTTAGAAAAAAAACATGTCAGTTAAGATTTGAGGCATCATTATTTTTAAGTTGACAATTATAGAAGTAAATTTAATTGTTAAAATTTTGCTTTATTAAAGTTTAAAAGGAAACTGATATTCTAGAAAAAAAACGAGGTTTAGTCGGTACGTTTATTTGAGGTGAAAGATTACTTGTGATTTATTAAATTTCCCAATATTTTGGGAGGTTTAAGAAGAAAGGGACTGTTGAAATTGGCACCTTTAACCGCCATTTTTTAGTATATCGGCACCTCGCGATTCAAAAATGGCAAATATTACCCCTGTTAAAATGGCATTTTTAAATTGTTACTTTTACACCCAATTGTTTCCAGTAAAATTGGGCGTTTTCGATTAAAAATGGCAATTTTAGTGAATTGGCGCTGGAAATGTGGGCTTTTCAGAAAACAAAATGGCCGAAGCTAATCCTAGAAACGGGTTCTTCAGCATGGGTCAGAAGACCCTGGCGGTTCCTATGGAATTGTTCGCAGAAAACAGGTTAAATACAAATCATTGTCACAATGTCAACCACGAACACAGTTTTTAAAATGTGTTTAATTTTATCAGGAATCCGATTTAAGTTTTGATTAGTTCTATTGTTTTGTTTTCAAATGAAGTAATAAAGAATTTTAAAGATTTTTTCAAAATGAATTTTTTCCATAGAAGTTTTACAAGGAACTAAAATCCGTTGCAGAAGGTTTTAAAAAATCCTCGAAATTTGCTGATTTTTGTAAAGGATTAATTTAAACTGGTTTTACCCGGTGTCAACAGATTTTTTCTTTCAAACTTTAACGAAATACAGAATTTGATTTAAATGGACTGTAGATGTAATTTGAAGTGACCCTTCATTAATGTTTGATTCACAGTGGTACCCTTTACACATTAGTCTGGTCAAAAATGACGGAAACATCTGTGTTTTTCTTTCTTAAAATTGATAATATTCCGTTGTGGTTAGGTGACTGCAGATTTTAGCACAAGGAATATGAGGAAGGAAATTAATTGAGAAATCTCTTTTTAAGATAGAAGAACGGCGATATCTTTTTTAAATTTTTAAATCTTCCATGTTTAACTTTGTTATAAGAGGATCAGTTGAAATTACGTATACAGTCCCTTTAAGTAAAATTTACTTTAGGCGAAGATTAGTTGCGAGCCTGAATAAGAACAAGAAAGTTTCCAAGGAATACACAACATGATTTAAATTCTTATTTGCATTTTGAATGTCCAAGAGTAAATTATTTGAAGCGCCTGTACAATTTTGATGATCTGTATGATCAAGATGATGTTGTTGGTTATGTGTAGGGTAGTACTGTTCTCCTTCAAGGAGGCGGAGATCATGATAATGTTTATGATGATGATGATGATGATGTTGATGATCAGGATGATGATGATGATGTTGTTGGTTGTGTGTAGGGTAGTGCTGTTCTCCTTCAAGGAGGAGGAGATCATGATGATGTTTATGATGATGATGATGATGTTGTTGGTTGTGTGTAGGGTAGTGCTGTTCTCCTTCAAGGAGGAGGAGATCATGATGATGTTTATAATGATGATGATGATATTGATGATCAGGATGATGATGGTGATTTTGTTGGTTGTGTGTAGGGTAGTGCTGTTCTCCTTCAAGGAGGAGGAGATCATGATGATGTTTATGATGATGATGATGATGATGATGATGTTGATGATCAGGATGAGGATGATGATTTTGTTGGTTTGTAGGGTAGTGCTGTTCTCCTTCAAGGAGGAGGAGATCATGATGATGTTTATGATGATGATGATGATGTTGATGATCAGGATGATGATGTTAATGGTTGTGTGTAGGGTAATGTGGTTCTCCTACATGTTGATGTTGATGTTGATGTTGATGTTGATGTTGATGTTGATGTTGATGTTGATGTTGATGTTGATGTTGATGTTGATGTTGATGATGTTGATGTTGATGTTGATGTTGATGTTGGTGTTGATGTTGATGTTGATGTCGATGATGAGGACGATGAGGATGATGAGGATGATGAGGATGATGAGGATGATGAGGATGATGAGGATGATGAGGATGATGAGGATGATGTTTGTTGTGTGTAGGGTAGTGTTGTCCTCCTTCAAGGAGGAGGAGATCAAGGAGTGTGTGAGGGAGATAGTAGTGATGTTGGTCCAGTCTTTAGACAGGTATTCAATCCATTTATTTATTTTGATATTTATTTTCAGGGGTGTATATTTTCTCGAAAAATATTTCCCCCCTCACCTTTTGAGCATAATTTTTTCTCTCAGAAGTTTGTAAGTTTTTTAAGGCTTTATTTGCTGAATCGGGAAAAAACTAATGATTTTGTGGGAAAAATATTAAGAAGAATGAACAACTTTTTATGTTCAATTTTTCATTATATTTGTACACATTCTCAGGAAATTCAACTATAAATCTTTATTTAAGTTTTTTTAAACAAAAATGATTATATTTTTATAATAAACATTCGACAAAAACATCGCAAAATTAGACAAAAACATCCATGGGACCTTTAAGGTCCTAGAACCTGAGTTCTTTGCTGCCATTGATTATATTGATTAGGAATCCTACTTCCATTGGCCCTTTGAGGTCTTAGAACCTGACTTCTTTGCTGCCATTGATTTTTATTGATTAGGAATCCTATTTCCATTGGCCCTTTGAGGTCTGAGAACCTGACTTCTTTGCTGCCATTGATTTTTATTGATTAGGAATCCTACTTCCATTGGACCTTTAGGGTCCTAGAACCTGACCTTCTTTGCTGCCATTGATTTTTATTGATTATGAATCCTACTTCCATTGGGCCTTAGGGGTCCTGGAACCTGACGTCTTTGCTGCCATTGATTTTTATTATATGAATCCTACTTCCATTGTACCTTTAGGGTCCTAGAACCTGACTTCTTTGCTGCCATTGATTTTTATTTATTAGGAATCCTACTTCCATTGGGCCTTTGGGGTCCTAGAACCTGACTTCTTTATATTGATTAGGAATCCTACTTCCATTGGGCCTTTGGGGTCCTAGAACCTGACTTCTTTGCTGCCATTGATTTTTATTGATTAGGAACCCTACTTCCATTGGACCTTTGGGGTCCTAGAACCTGACTTCTTTGCTGCCATTGATCTTTATTGATCAGGACTTCTACTTCCACTGGGCCTTTTGGGCCCTAGAACCCTGAGTTCTTTGCTGCCATTGATTATATTGATTAGGAATCCTACTTCCATTGGGCCTTTGGGGTCCTAGAACCTGACTTCTTTGGTGCTATTGATCTCAGTACAGGGAGATCAATCCTTTACCAGCCTAGACTACCAGAGGTAATGGTCACCAAGTTTCCAAATATAATAAAGGGACTGGTCAGTGGTCACCCTGTTTCTAAATATTATAAAGTGACTGGTCACCAAATTTCCAAATATAATAAAGGGACTGGTCACCAAGTTTCCAAATATAATAAAGGGACTGGTCACCAAGTTTTTAAATATAATAAAGGGACTGGCCATCAAGTTTGAAACAAATGGAGGTTTGGAATCAAATTTTCCCATAGTGACCCTTCAAGTGAATAATTAAACTTTTTGTTAAATACCTTTTTTTCTTTTTAAAAAGTGCAATTTTTATGAAGGCTGAAAGAAGAAAAAAGTTAACAATTAAAGATAGCTTAGGACAGCTTTAGTCAATGAGCATTGAACATGGTCTGTCCCGTTCTTGGGAAAATGTAGATTTGGGAAGTTGCAAGGAACAGCACGGAAAGTTTCCAGGAATAATATCTTAAAAAATATAAATTGGACGAACTATTATTAGAAAAATATAACTAGGACGAACTATGATTAGTAAAATATAACTAGGACGAACTATTATTAGTAAAATATAACTAGGACGAACTTTGATTAGTAAAATATAACTAGGACGAACTTTGATTAGTAAAATATAACTAGGACGAACTATGATTAGTAAAATATAACTAGGACGAACTATGATTAGTAAAATATAACTAGGACGAACTATGATTAGTAAAATATAACTAGGGCGAACTATGATCAGTAAAATATATCTATTTAATTTATTCAATATTTTAAAGAAATTATTTTTGGGTGGGTGTTTCTATCTATACAATGAAGATGACTTTTCTATTTAAGTTTTTATTTTTAACAAGCTTTTTTCAAATTACAAGTTAACAAAGAGGAGATGTTAATTGACAGATTCTCCTTGTTCCATGTTTATGTGTATCGATGCTGTTTAAAAGCTTGGAAGAAATCAAGTTGAAATTGCAAGTCGTCTTCCTTGTATTGATATGAAGACAATTGTAATATATATATGATAACACTTGTTGTTAAGGATTATGCTATTATTATGGGACATATTCCCACTGCAGCTGAAATTCAGGAAAGATACAGAGTGGATGAGGTAAAGTAGATATTTTATTTATATATTAATAATAATAATTGGGGGTCTTTCACGATCTTTTTCATTTCATTTCATTTCATATATATATATAAATACAGAGCGTCCCATATCATATTAGATTCTCTCCAATACCAAAATAAACCCATAATACTCGAAAAACTTATCATTTTCCGCAAGAAAATTCTTATATAAGCCTTATGTTATTTTTCAAAATGATTCATTCAAATGAAATTTTCTAATTAGTCCCGAAAATCGTAATTTAGACTCGTTCTCGGTCTAAAATGA